AAGTTTATATTTAGGACATCCGCAAAAATTGCCAACCATTACAGGATATTCAAGAACAAATTCATTTAGAAGCTTTAATTTGTCTTTGTGTAATTATAAATAAATAAATGAAATGCATCTACAGTGCATTTGCGTTTGATATTGGCCAGTATGTAAATGTTAAACATGGAAATTGTAATGACGTTACATATATTACAGTTATTATTGAATACATACCATGAGCAAGGATGTTTAAAGGTCTAAAAAAAAATCCATCCGTGTAACCGTTTACTTGATCAGAAAAGTAAGCGATTAACCGGTTACTAAAAATTGTCCGATTTGACAACACTTATAAGTATCAACACATAATTATAAGATTGGATGCTGCTTGGTTCGGATGGCCAGAGTCATTTTTATGACATAATTGAAGACATATTACTGGCATTTTGTTTTTCTCACATTACTTGAATTCTTGGTTGCCTACAACAAAAATATTTAAATTGATATTTGTAACAGAGATTTAATTTGCAAATTTAAAAATAATGTTACAGTAGTTAAGAACTGGAATTAGTATAAAAGTAAGAAGAACTGGTATACATTGGTAACACAATGAAGCATTGGCAAAGTATTGAAATTATGAAGAATAAGAATCAGAGTGAAATGTATTGAGCATGGATATGAAAAGAAGTGACATACTGTTATGAATGAGATTGAGTGGCCTCTTGCTTTTACTTAAGGATTTTCCAAAACACTGATTGATTTGTATTTGAGAATAAATTGTAGGATTCTTATGAGATGCAAATCCAATTTAAAAGCTTCATCAAATTAAAGACAGACTGAATTATATGTCAAAAGAATGTGAAATGGCATTTCATTTTGAAATAAAAACATGATTTCAACTCAGAAAAACCAATGGGGTACAAAGTAAACAAACTGGAGTGACATACCTAGATTCTCTCTAATGGTTAATACATGTATGTTTAATTTGGGATGATTATTTTGATTCCATATTTCTTCTATGATATGCATTATAGATAAGTCTACTAAACATGTTTTATAGAGTTCACTACCCCAGGAGGTTAAATATTATGATTAGATATTATATCGTGTTTTTTGTTTTGTTTGTTTGTTTGTTTGGCGGGGGGGGGGGGTTGCTGTTTACCAATCTCCTATGCAGAGTAGTCGTTCGTTCCTCTCTCAGACCTCTGCAATGGGCTCGCGTCAAGATTTTTGACATAACATAAAAAACATAATATTTCAAGGATTATTTCTTTATTATTACTTTCATTCTGAATTAAATATATTCATGTTACAGACATACATTTTTAGGGAAAAAAATATAAATTTTGCTATTTTCTATTCAGGGATATACTTTCATTGTTTATAATACTAGTTGAGCCATATATAATTTATCCATAGTAGGAACAAGTTGATGATGAATTTACTGCAAAGGAAATGTAGTTTGTTTTAACATTGCCAAATCACTCATTGTGTTCATAGTTAAGTGCTAGGTATTGCAAATTAAAAATCCTATTACAATACCTTGGATACATTGCAATATTAAATTTTGTATTGAAATATATTACAATATAACATTATTTCTATCTTTTTTATTTTTTTTTTATTTTTTCATCAAAGACAAAACATGTAGTATATTTTTTTCCTTCATTCCATAGCAACATTGATGTGAAGCCAGCAATTTTTTTCATGCTACGTACAGTATCTAATAATCTCTGCATTAGTCACATACCTCAGTATTTGTGTCGACGTTTTGAGTTTCTATCTTTAACTTTAAAATTTATCACGCAGATGTAGTGAATTTCCGTGTCAGAGGACAATAATTGCACATGTAGTGATTTTCCTTCCTAGAGTATATAGTTTACACACACATGTAGTGAGTTTCCTTGCCAGAGTACATTATTTACACATATGTAGTGAGTTTCCTTGCCAGAGTATATTATTTACACAGATGTAGTGAGTTTCCTTGTCTGTTTAAAATTATCACACACATGTAGTGAGTTTCCTTGCCAGAGTACATTATTTACACAGATGTAGTGAGTTTCCTTGCCAAAGTACATTATTTGCACACATGTAGTGAGTTTCCTTGCCAGGGTAAATTATTTACACTCATGTAGTGAGTTTCCTTGCCAGAGTACATTATTTACACATAATGTAGTGAGTTTCCTTGCCAGAGTATATTATTTACACACACGTAGTGAGTTTCCTTGTCTGTTTAAAATTATCATACACATGTAGTGAGTTTCCTTGCCAGAGTACATTATTTGCACACATGTAGTTAGTTTCCTTGCCAGAGTACATTATTTACACACATGTAGTGAGTTTCCATGCCAGAGTACATTATTAACACACATGTAGTGAGTTTCCTTGCCAGAGTGCATTATTTACCCACATGTAGTGAGTTTCCCTGTCTGTATACATTTATCACACAGATGTTGTGAGTTTCCTTGCATTGGTTTATTTTCATTTTCGATCAATGTTTGGAATCAGCTTCTAGTGTTTCAATGTTATCGATTATAATCAGACACCAGATTTCTACTTTACAAAGCATAATTTTGAAATTTTAAATTCAAAAGTAATGAGAATCTTTTATCAAGTATATTTTTAGAATCTACACACCTAGCTTAATTAAAAATCAAAACAAAAAATAGGGGTTAATGTGCTTCTCTTGGCACTATTGAGCATTTAGTTTGACTTTTTTGCACTGTAAATACGTCTTACACATAAATCAATTTTTAAAGTTTTTCCGCCAATATTTTTTTCAAATAAATTATGGGAACAAACACAGTCTTATTTCACCTTGAATATATAGGTGTATTAACAAAAAATTTTCAAATTACTTCGCAAGTTCAATTATTTGACCTTTTTGCACTCAGAAAATATTTTTCTGGCATTAAAAAATTTATCAAGCAATAAAATATCTTGAAAGTAATGACATTTTACTGAATTTAAGAAGAATGGTTAAAAGTATTTTATATATTCAGAAAAGAAAATTAAAAGTGGGGGTCTGTGATGTTAATTTTTAGATATTACCTAAATAGTGCTAATTTTAAGCTTAATTTAAATTACGGCTATTTTTTCTGGATTTTCACAATATATTTGCTATACTTATCAAATATAATGATAGAATTCATGATATTTTATTTGATATATAATTTAGGACCAGCATAAAACAATTCATGGCTCAGAATAACTCTGTGTGTAGGCTGCATGGAAAAATAGGAATCCAAACTTAGCATACTTTAAATACTTTGAAAGAGAAAGAAATGATCATTTTCTTCTAAAAAAAAAAAACCTTCCGCCACAAAATATACTGTATGTGTCCATAAAATAGTGTATTCAAAATTTAGCGAAATCACTGGGTTTTGAGGTGTTGGCGACATCATGAATTAGCGCTATAAATGTCTGTACCATATATTGTATTTATAAATGATTTCTTAGTGGTATTCATGAATTAGGGCATTGTTGTCTGCGCCAAGGGCCCCCTAAAATATGAAGCCTGCTTTTTTAAGTACACATACAGTAGTTCCTCACTTAATGCTTTTGGTATTGAATTAAATCATGGAGTTTTAACTGAATATATTTTAATTGGTATTGTAGAATCCAAATTTATTGTAAGAACTAAAACATTATGCAAAAGTGGAAATATAGGTTAAGACAAAAATCTACTCAAAAGCTCAGGAGCATTTTACTTCTTCTGGAGAACCACTTAGCAATTTTAATTTGTTTAAATGAATGGTGACCAACTTTTCAAGGAGAAGTAGCTATGAAACAGTGAAAATTTGATTCATATAAAAATCTCCTTTTTATAAACCATTGAAACTTATGTGGAAGTGTCCTGACATGGTATAGATTCAAGTTTGCATGTTCAAATCTGACTTAATGGGGTAGGTGGAACCAGTATGGAATCAATATTTTTTTTTACATCAACATATAAAAAAAATGTCATAATAAGATGCAGTCATAACATGGTAGTTTGTTCAATTGTCTTTTTGTAATTAAAAATAAATAAATGAAGTGCATCTACAGTGGGGTAGGATAGGGCTACAATGAAGGATTGAAGTTTTTCATTGGAATGTATGTCACAACAGGACATTGATTAGTGATATTAATGTCCTAGCTGTTATCCTCAGAAAGTGCTGTACAATTTTTTTCCCAATCATGGTTCCTAGAGGTACCCGTAGAGTGGCACAACAATGGTGGATTAAAGTTTTTTGTGGGAATATAAAGTAAAAAATGTTTAAAATAAAAAAGAAATGGAATTTTTTTTTAAATACAATGTATTTTGTGATAAAGAACAAACAGCAGCATTTTTTTTCTTCCATAACTGGTACCATTGAACAGAGCCATTCCACCAAAAATGTTAATTATTCCTAGTTTGAGAGCATTAATATTTTTCATCAAATTTTGAATTCGTCTATTTTTATGAGGAAAAAATTGTAAAATGCTAAGTTCAAGATCTTTGGGATTGGTATTTTGACTACTTTGTATGGACATTCTTTAAATAGTGCACTGTGCACAAATTTGGTTGAGAATGCACATTTAGTTAAGTATTTTAGTATATCCCTATTCGTTCAAGCTATATATACTGTCCTGTCTGTCCACTTTATTTTGCAAGTCATCTAAATATTTAAGTGGTAGCCAAAGAAATTCATTTTCAGGTGATTGATTAGTTTTTGTAGATGTGTATGAATTTTGATCTCTCCCCTGAAGCTAAGCTGAAGTGAAGTGATAATTCTGTTGAACATGAATTGTTAGATATCAAATGAATTCCAAACTTTAAGACTTCGTTTCAATATGAAGGGATATGTTAAGATTTGAGCATTGATTGGTGTATACAATTAAAAGAATGTCTTTGTGCTTGCATGATGAACTGGGTTGAAAAATTTTGAAAATATTAAATGTTTCCCTCAGCTTGTTGTGATCCTCCTGGACATCCAAGTGTTTTCGACATTGATGAAGATTTTGTCAATCTCTCTCTTGGACCAAACCAAGAAATGATGGGTTTAAGAAGATTATAGGATATGTCATAGAATACGAAGACCCCACCACTGGAGGCAGGCTAATGACTACCCAGTAGATGAGTGTGTTTATGAGGGTGAGTAACTGATTACTTGTTGACACATGTATCTTTCTTATGAACTAGTAAGTGGATTTACATGTCCTTTTGTTGCATGTAATTAGTATATTATGGCTGAAAACTGTGAAAAGATGTTTTACAAAATTGATTCTTGAAATTTGTTTTGTTTACAAAACTTGAATTTGAGAGTTTTTTCATCAGTGAAGGGATTAAAAAAGGACAAGGAATACAACTTCCACATACAGGCCAAGAATCTTGAAGGTTTTTAAATTAGTGAGTCTAGTGATGTGATTGGTCCCATAACTCCCAAGCCCAAATACAGTAAGTATATTTGAAAAAAAATTATAACATTTTAAAAAACAATTACCATATTGTACTTTATTTTCAATTATTTTTTCTTTCACGTTATTAAACTTTTATTTTAGCCAAGGTTTTGCCACCTGGTGTACCAGAGGCTGTCAACAATTCTATAACTTATCTGAAATGGGAACCACCTAAACATAATGGTGGCTGTAAAATTACAGGTACTAATTTAAAAGTAGAATAAAAAAAGGGAAATGTTGATCTCTGTTCAAAACCACATAAACACTGTAGCAGTTGATAATATTGATTATCTTTGTAGACTACCTTGTAGAAGAGAGGTTTAAGGGAACAGAGAAATGAGTACCCCTGCACTGACCCCTCTTTACTGTCACCGATCTTCCTCAGGACTCAGAGTGGGAGTTTAGAGTTACAGCTGTTAACTTTGCTGGAAACTGTGAGCCCAGTCTGTGCTCACCAGCATACAAAATCCAGGAGAAGATTGGTATGTTGTCAAGTTAATAAATGTATCGTACACTATTATGGTACTAGAAAAAAGATTTGGAGGTCAAATTAAACCATAATGTGTATTTTCTTCTCAAAGCCCATAATACTCTCACTTTACTGGTCAGGAGCTGAAATTTATGTGAAAGCTTCCTGATGTAATAAAGATTTTAAATTGTTCAAAAAATGGCCTTTGAGGTAGATGGGGCCACAATAGGGGATCAAAGATTTACCTTGAAATATATACATACATTTATGTACTGGTTAAAATCTTTACAAATCCTCTTAAGAACAACTGGACCACAAAAAGTATTTTTAAACCTTCTTGTAGCTTCCTTTTTGTTCAAATCATGGCCAAAGGGAGGAAGGAAGCGGGGGGGGGGGGGTAGTGGATTCAGAGACCCTTTAGAGTTAGGATAGGGTCATAATATGAGTTCACAATTTTGCATGAGAAAATTAAGGAGAAAAACTCTTTATAAACATTAAGAAAAGCTTCTTTTACATGGGAAATGTTGTAGCCCATGGGACTCTTCTTTGCATGCATAGTAAAGGCAAAAAGAAAAAATAGATAACCCCTATTGTATTCATAAATTTGAATCTTACTTTTTAAGAAAAGTGTTATTTTCCAATTTAATATCTAATTTGAATGTTTTGACAGAGTCTTTTGCAATTGAGCAGGATGATGAATCACAACAATCATTTGTAAATGAAAGCAGCAGTCATGATGTTGTCAATGAGAATGGTAATCTATATTTATGATGTTGTTTGGATGTTACAAATTGAAAGTTAACCCCATAAAAATGAACAGTCTTAAAATGATAATTTCTTTTTTAGAATTTTAAATAGGACATGATACAGGGCCACTTTTAAGTGATGAAGCAGACGAGTATGATGATGGTAATGATGATGAATCATACCATCCTTCAAGCGATGAAAAAAGCTGTGATGAAGATACCATTAATGATCTTGGTAATAAAGCTGAAAACAGAACTTTCTTAAGCTCAAGTAAGCTTTTCTGATCAAAGTTTGTCCATTGTCCATCTCCAGCGTCACTGTTGTTTCAAATTTTCAGCTCCTTCTCAAGAACCACTGCGTCAATTTCAACCAAACTTGCCACAAAGTATTCTTCGGTGGGGGATTCAAGTTTGTTCACATGAAAGGCATCACCCTATTTCAAGGGGATATAATCAAAAATAAGTGCAAATTTGATGGCATCTTTAAAAAAATCTTCTCCAGAAACAATGGGCAGAGTTGTTTACTTGTACAGCTTTTTAGTATTTTCCATGAATCTTCGAGTAAAAAAGTGCTCTACAGATTCACGTTGAAAATATACAGATTTTCCCTAAAGACGGAAAAAAATCAGAGTCTTTCCCGAAATTTGCAAATCAGTTTGATAAAGAAGCTTGTTGATTGAAGTGGTCTTATCAAAAATGATCTAAAAACAATATAATTACGGCAAATGTAAAATATGTAAGCAACAGTAGACAGCATACGGTGACTTGCGTAGTTAGTGCTTAGTATTTGTATAACAAGGGGTTCTTCATATAAAAATGTCTAATAAGCTGAGTTGCATTTTTACTGACAAACTGCTCAAAATACTGACAACTTCTAGAATACTGACATCAGTTAGAAAAGTTAAACAGGTCTGAGTGGGCCAGAAAAATTATTCTCCAGAACAGCAAAGCCATGACAAGTCATATTAATACAGAAGCATACTCAGGTAATGTAGCTTGAAGTTTTATCAACTAATGACCCCTGGCAGAAGGGTGGGGACACAATGGGGCATAAGACTTTTATATGGAATTATATAGAAAATGTCTTTAAAGGCCTTCTTCTCAAGAACAGCAAAGCCATGATTTGTTATATTAATACAGGAGTATTTTTCAGGTAGTGTACATTCAAATTTATTCAAATCGTAACATCAAGGGGTAGGATGGGAGAAGTAGTTTCAGGTTTGTTCAAATCATCACCCACAGGGCATAGGGTGGCACCAATTGTATAATTACTCAAACTTTCCAATACTGAACTGATTTCTGCTTTTCTCTTGCAAAAGGGCTCAGGTGTCATGGACCATGGGCCTCTTGTATAAGGTGTTATGTATTACATTGTACAATATGTAGATTGTTTAAAGTGAATTAAAATTCTGGCAGAATTTCTGTCTTGAATTTTAAGTATGACTGTTTCTTTATTACAGTTAAGGATTAATTCCATAAGTTGTTTTTTTCTCCAGACATGATCACAGTCTGATAAATTGACAAAATTCATTTTAAATAAATAACTTTCCTTTGCCTCACATTAACATGATGTTCATTAGCCAGCATTATAAATTATAAATATCTCCATAAGGAGCTTACATAGAGTGTTTCAATCATGCCTAACAGATTGAAGTATGGAAAAACAGCTTTCATACCTCTTCATTAGGTTTGAATGGGTAAGATGAGGCCATAATAGGCAATCAAAGCTTTACATAGGGATATATAGGGGGGGAAATGTGCAGGGCCATTGTGACTTGGGTGAGCCATGTGGCCCATTGGCCTCTTCTATAAAAATAAAGATGAATCCCTTTTGTCAATACATGTACATATATAATAATTTCAGATATGCCCAGTAAGCCTCTCAAATCTGAAATGCAGCAGAAACAAGCTGCACTTGCAAGTGACAGCGAAAAGGACAGTGAATGTGAAGATGATCATGATGATGTCGGCAAAGTTTTACCACAGTCAGAGAAGCGAAAGACCAGGTTTTTAGAGGCCAAAAACATCGTCTGGGAACTATGATAATAAAAAACATTCATGTCTCTTTTGTGAGAAGTTTTGCTAGCAGGCAGTTGATGGTATGCATATCATATAAGCCCATAGCTCTTTAAGTACAAAAAATTGTGAGATTCATTTTTGCATATAGGTTCAGGATGGAGCTGAATATTGAAAAAATATATCCTATAAATTTTTTTTCATGGACATGTAGCAGACAGCTGTTTGCATAATTTAAGCAAGTAATTATTTTTTAACCAAAATTTGTGAAATTTATCGCTCATGACCCATTGTTCATGCAAGGTTTACCTATTTATATTGAAACTGCAACAGGCCCATAGAACTCCCCCCCCCCCCACTTTTTCTGAGTATAGTATTTTGCTATAGTAAAGTATCCTTTATATCCTGGTTGCCCCTCCTCCCCCCCCCCCCTTTTTGTTGCAATAAGGTCGGTTCAGTAAATAATGTTTTTTTTTGCTTGTCAGATATTTTTTGAAGCCCCCCTACTTTTGAAACCCTTGCTATGGGCTGTAAATTGAAGTTTTAAAAAATCCTTTACTGGTGAACATCTAGCAGGCAAACTAGCAGGCATAAAATTAAATATGAAGATTATGAATAGTAATCAAACTCAAAAGTCCATTAGAATAATCCATATTCGTAGCAGAGCAAACATGGACCTCTAAAATTAATCTTAATTAATGCTTAGCCCTCTAATTGAAGGCTTCTTCATGTTTCAAGCCCATGAAAAGGCAGAGTTAGTCATAAATTAGAATGTTTTATACAGTATTAGCCAGTATACCTTATCCTCTTTACTTTTGAACTTCTAGGAGTTCAGCTGCATCAATATGATAATAAATATAGAATTCTTGTGAAAATTTACGATTTTTGTTGCATGGGTCTAGATTTCTAGATCCAGGCGGTTTTGAAATGACCACAGCCTGAGAAATTCATAATACTCAGGTAATAGTCAAAGCCTAGGGCCTTTTGTTGCATTTTAAACACAGGAAGTTATTAATTGCATGATATTTATATTTCTTGCTTGGTTGTCAGCTTTAAGCTTAAAGAGTTTTTTTTTTATTTCGAAACTTGTATGTTGTTTAATGCACTAAGAAAATGCCACTATATTTTGCACAAATACTGACTGATTGTCCTTGGTTGTTCTGTGAAAATAAACTTATTTTGGATACCTTAAAAATTAACAGCAAGAATTATCTATTAACACTTGGCTTATACATGTGTATCTTATTTCATGTCAGCATTCTTTTTATGTACTTTTTTGTATAGTTGATGCAATAAAATTGTTTCATGCAAACAAACCGTCTTTTTTGTTTGATCTTTCAAAATGTTGTAAAACATTTGAGCAAAGCGATAAGAAAACTAAAGGGTGCTGTATGAACTGCATTTCGTAAAAAATCATGGTTTTAGAGACCAACATATTTGAGCAATGGGATTTTTAAATGCTGAATTGGAAAATGAAATGATGAATATGAAATGATAGAATGTTATGCATAAAAAAAACAATGAAGTGGACTTTCCCCACCAAAGTAATTTCAGTTTTTTGAAGTCATTAAATCGCAAGAATAAATAAGAGGGATCATTATTTTTCCCCTTATTTCAGGTCCGTAGAACGCGGAGGCTACCCCCCCCCCTTTTCTGAATATACTATATTACTATTGTAAATTTTCCTTTGAATGCTGGTTGTGGTGTCATCCACATAAAAAAGAACGAGATGTTATTACATGAACAGTAGTTAAGTAATTTGTAATCCTATAAAATTCTTGTTAAGAAAAAAATAAACTCTTTAAGATCATAAAAAACATAATGATTGCATTTAAAATTGGGGAACGATTTTCAATTTCTACTTGTCTTACTCAATGCAACAGAAAAAAAAAACCCAAAACGAATATTCTTGACGAAGCAAGTCTTGAATCAACGCACACTCGGCAATTCATTGCCGTCAGCGACGTAAAAGCAGAGGGGAGGGGTAGCTTGGCCCCTCCTTTTTTCAAACTTAAAAGTTTTATTTTTAATTTACTGTGAAAGTGTTCATTAACCCCCCCCCCCCCCTACACACACTGTTTTGGTATGTATTTAAATGCGGTCATTTTATTGTAAAGAAATTTTTTGGAGGGTTCACAAAAGTTCAACCCACCAATAGGATTTTCGACTTTTTGAAGTTAACCTATTTCTCTTGCTTGCCAAAGATTTTCGGGTATTAAGTTGTATTTTCTGCCCCCCCCCCCCCGACTTTCAAAAACGATGTTACGTGCCTGGCCGTTAATACTTTTAAATCTTTGTCATGACTGTTAATTTATTCTTCTCATTTCATTTGCTTTATTTTAATCTATATACAGATGTTGAAAGCCAATTTTTTATCTTTTAACTTTATCGGATATCCTTTGACAATTTTTTTTTCTATAGCATACAGATTTCATGCAGACATTGTCATGTATTTTCGACAATTTTTTGGAAAAATTGGTGTTTTTACGGGAAACGCATTCAAAATTTACTGAATGTAGTGATTTTATTGTATAATATCTTACAAGAGTGTTTATGTACTGAGTTTCCTGTGTGTGTCCTGGTAAAGCCATGTAGTGACTTGTCAACTTCCGGTGTGTGATTGAGCAAAATCACGTGACCAAATGTAGTGACTTTTAGGTGAAAAATCATTTTTTCATTATTTAAATTTTCATCTTTCTGAACCTCATTTGCATATACAAAGACCCATAGAATCACAGTTATGGTCTGTTTATCTTGTTAGCATTGCTGGAACATAGTGTAGTGACTTTCAGGTGTAAAACCTCGTGTAGTGAGAATTGCGGTTGTACACGTATGTGTGTGTGTGTGTGTGTGTGTGAGGGTGTGTGTGTGTGTGTGTGTGAGAGAGAGAGAGAGAGAGAGAGGGCTGTAAACATAGATTTCGCAGATGACAGAAAGTTAAATATTAATGTACATAATTTCGTTCAATATGATGTACAAATGATTACATATTATTGTTTAACCAGTTCAAATGTAACAAGTTTAGATTTTGACGATACTTTCCTTTTTTTAAATAAAGGCTGACAAAGATATCACATTCTTACATACGTATATAGTAATGAGTTTATTGGCTGGCAGTACAATACATGAGTGAATTCTAACTCTTACTGTTTGCTAAGAAAGCACTCACCGACTTAGCTCCACTGCACCAAACAGACCTTTATAATCATTGTATTTAAACCAGGTCCTTTCATTAATTCGGATTTCATTATCCGCGCCATTCACACTTTCAACAACTTTGTGCCCGAGTACATACATGTACTGTGTTAAAAAACCCACAATTTATACATAATAAAACGTTATCTTGTTAATAATTACTACTGTTTATTTTTTCTCTGCATATAAATTTCTTTTAAGTAAGAGAACTGAAAAAATGACTGGGAATTTACATGCATTTCAAAAATTATATTGAATTCATTTCAAAATGATACTTTCTAAGAATTGCAAATATCTTAAATTCACAATCGTTTTAGCAACTTTTTACTTATTTTGTGCATTTTGAAAAATATTTTCCAGACAATTTACTTTACACTGTACAGGTTATTCCTGTATTTTCTCAGCACAGATGATGTATTATTTACACTCAGATTGATGACAATGAGTTACAATGGGCGTATGTCAGTATTATTGGCAATAAATAGATACGAATTTGAAGTGACTGTATATTATGTTATATTTAATTCTGTAGGTAACAGTATGTTAAACACAGAGTATCCCCCTGTCAGGGATATACTTTAGTACCTCAGACAGAGACAAAGACAGATCGGGAGGAGACTGTGAATAAAGGAGGCTGGTGGTTCAATGATTGCAATCTCGCCTTCCTCAGCTGTCCCTGGTCTCAGGGAGACTGGATCAGCTCCTGGGATCCTACAGTGATGACCGCAGCAGATATAAAATAAACGATGATGATGACTCAGGGAGACTGGATCAGTTCATGGGATCATACAGTGATGACCGAGGCAGATATAAAAGAAACAATGCTGATGGCCAAACCTCGCTAGGTAAATATATATTATGCTGTATACTTTCTCACCTCTGGAATTTCCCTGGGTCTTTTTGTGTTTTATGACCTCTTAACAGATTTGCATTGATTACAGATATTTTGAGATCGATCACTGTTCGTTATCTTCATCTTCTTTTCATGACCTCAACATTTTAAACAAATGTTTTGTTTTAGATATTTGAGGATTGAGGTCTTGATATTAATTCCTAGAACAGTCGGTATATATCTTTTACTTTATTAATTCTTAGAATGTTATTCCTTTGTATTCAACAGACAAAGATAAAGAAAGAGAGAGAAGCAGCCACAGACAAAATGCCATGGGATTTTTTTCCGCTACACTTTTACATCTGTTTTGACCAGAAGGACTTTTTTTATCTTAATAAATTATTATATTTTACATATTTTGATTCGGACATCGTTCTCTTAAGATGTATACATATAATCGGTTTTTAAATGTTTCGGCAATTTAAGGAACTCCCTTAAGTTAATAACTATCTTTATTATTTACTTTTTATTTTTAATATGTTCTGTAAAAGATGCCTTTCTTGTAAATAAATTTGAAACTGACAAATCTGCTTTTTATTAGGAAAAAAAATGAAATTCTCCGATTAATTATAATGAAAATCGATGTAATTATCTGACATATCAGGTAATATTTTAAACACTAAATTAACTGATTCCTGAGGGGGAAAAAAAACTTCTGATGATCTTAGCTTTTTAGCCTAGGTCCGTTGCCATTAAAATAATAATCAATTCTAAAGTACTACCATGAACAATAAAGGCAAACTTATATACGAGGACTGTTCGATATGTAATGTGTATTGTACCACAGCGCGATAACGCTTTGAACGGATGAGGATACTCTCAGTTCAACATGGTTTTAAACATATAGTCATTTCAATAGAGCCAGTCGTTCACAACTGTTGTAAAAGTGGTTGGGAAACAGGTTGAAAATATTGGTCTGATAAGGTATCTTATGAAATAGTTTGTAGGGGGAGAAGGAAATTTCTGACTGGCACAGAGTCCAGATGCAATAAAATCTGGCCGACATGTGACTGTAACAGGCAAGGTGAATGTCTCAAAAGTTAGGGAAATAATTTAAAGTGATAGCAAATACGATTCGTGATATTGTCAAAGCTGTTGGCATATCGCTATTCAGGGTGAATCTCATTTTGAAGCGGTTTTTTTTTTTTATGTACGAAAGATTTCTGCCAGATGGATACTGCATGCATTAATAGATGACAAAAACGGGTACGAATACAGACCGCTAAATAACTGCTCAAAATGTTTCCAAAATTCAATCAAAGACAATTTGCAAATATTGTTACTGGGGCGGAACTTGGGTTCACTTTTTCGAACCAGTAAGAAAAATTGGAAACAAAATATGGCTAACTTAACACGATAGAAGGTCTGTATTTACCAAAAGAACCATAAGCTCAAAGAGGGTTCTTTGTTGCATATTCTTCTCCTGTCACGGTATAGTCGTACAAATCCCGGCGCCGAAGTGTTATAGGTCGTTATCATATTCTTCTCCTGTCACGGTATAGTCGTACAAATCCCGGCGCCGAGGGGCAAAAGTGTTATAGGTCGTTATCATATTCTTCTCCTGTCACGGTATAGTCATACAAATCCCGGCGCCGAAGTGTTATAGGTCGTTATCATATTCTTCTCCTGTGACGGTATAGTCGTACAAATCCCGGCGCCGAGGGGAAAAAGTGTTATAGGTCGTTATCATATTCTTCTCCTGTGACGGTATAGTCGTACAAATCCCGGCGCCGAAGGGCAAAAGTGTTATAGGTCGTTATCATATTCTTCTCCTGTGACGATATAGTCGTACAAATCCCGGCGCCGAAGTGTTATAGGTCGTTATCATATTCTTCTCCTGTCACGGTATAGTCGTACAAATCCCGGTGCTGAAGTGTTATAGGTCGTTATCATATTCTTCTCCTGTGACGGTATAGTCGTACAAATCCCGGCGCCGAAGTGTTATAGGTCGTTATCATATTCTTCTCCTGTGACGGTATAGTCGTACAAATCCCGGCGCCGAAGTGTTATAGGTCGTTATCATATTCTTCTCCTGTCACGGTATCGTCGTACAAATCCCTGCGCCGAAGTGTTATAGGTCGTTATCATATTCTTCTCCTGTGACGGTATAGTCGTACAAATCCCGGCGCCGAAGTGTTATAGGTCGTTATCATATTCTTCTCCTGTGACGGTATAGTCGTACAAATCCCGGCGCCGAAG